CACTAGCACTATCACTAGAACTAACACAAGACCTAGAACTAGAATCATTCGGGTTTAGCCGTCTTTAGAGACGTGCGGCTAAACCCGAATGTTTCTAGTTCTAAGTCTAATGTTAGTTCTAGTGATAGTGGTAGGTACCGCTAGTAGCATAATATATCACAATGTTGCATATTTTTATTGCACTAAAACTAGAACTAACACTAGACCTAGAACTAGAATCATTCAGGTTTAGCCGTCTTTAGAGACGTGCGGCTAAACCCGAATGTTTCTAGTTCTCGGTCTAGTGTTAGTTCTAGTATTAACACATAGTCTATTGCAACACAGTCTACAGCGTGTTAACTAATTATCGTACCCGACGTCATCATTGCAAGATGCAATCAATATCACAGTACTGGTATTGTAATACGAATGCTGTGATATTGGTTGCATACTTACAATGATGACGTCGGGTACGATAATTAATTAACACACTGTATCTAATGGTATATAACGACAGGTACTCAATAGTTATGCATGGAAAGCCTTAAAAAACAAGGGTATTTCACTTAGGCCCACTTTTACCACCTCCTGATAAATTTATCCGATAGATAAATCCAGTTCTTAGCCAATGAGAGCGCTTAAAACCGCCGTAACCATGGCAACTATCCTCTAGATAGTTTATCAGGAAGATGGTAAAAGTGGGCCTTAGTTTAGTGAAAATAATTTCACTTTTAAGTTGGATCAGATTGATTTTATGTATCTAATATTAATAGGAAAATGCATGGTTAACATTGCTTGTGACGTCACAAAACATGACGTCACATCGAAACTTTAATGTAATTTTTCGATTTTTAAGCTAAATGATGATTCTTAAATTTTTCCTTAGGTTGAACAATTAAACTAGGACATTGTAATTTATTTACATCCACAAATCACAATTTTACATTAACATTTTTAATTTACAGTACTAGTTTTTCGATTTTTTAAAATACTAGCAATAAAGAATTCGCCAGCTTTATAAGAACTTCGAACCAACGGTCCACTTGCAACATACAAAAATCCCATTTCATTCCCAATTTTTTCCCAATGTTGATATTTAGCGGGTGTTACATATTCAACAACTTTTAAATGCCTTTTTGTAGGCTGCATATATTGCCCTAAAGTCACACAATCAACCCCATTATTTTTCAAATCAATCAACGTTTGCTCCACCTCCTCATCTTTTTCACCCAAACCCAACATAATCGACGATTTCGTAATTAATTTTGGAGTGAACGATTTCGCTGCGTTAAGAGTTGAAAGAGATTGGCGATATTTCGCACGTCTATCTCGAACGTAAGGTGTTAAAGATTCTACGGTTTCGATGTTGTGGGCGTAAACGTCCAAACCGCTTGTAGCAATCGTTTTAACGTTTTCTAGGTTTCCAGCAAAATCAGGGACTAAGCATTCGACGAAAATGTTGCTATTCCTAAACAAAAAATGTATTAAAAGTACATCAATTTTGATTATGATAAGAAAATACTGTCTTTTTATTTCCTGTACAGTTTCAGCAAAATGATTTGAACCTCCATCAGCTAAATCTAATAATATAATCAAATTAATAAAGTTATTTTTTTTAAATATTTTTTTATACCATCTCGATCAACTGAAGTTAACACCACATAATCTAATCCCCATGAAGCAATGGCACGAGCTGTATTAATAGGTTCTGATGCATCTGGTGGGGGTGGATTCCTCGCTGTTTTAACTGAACAAAATCTGCATCCTCTTGTACATGTATCCCCAAGCAACATAATTGTAGCAGTAGCTGTTCCATGTTCACCTCCACCCCAACATTCCCCAATATTAGGACACCTAGCCTCCTCACACACCGTATGTAGATTTAATTGCCTTAATTGTTCCTTCAATTTACTATAATTCTTCCCTGTAGGAATAGATCTTTTAAGCCAAGGTGGTAAACGCAACCTTTGACTTTCTCCTTTTTCCCGTTTAAGTTTCCCATCATATTCATTCCATTGCTCAGGGTTTTCTTTTAGTACAGGGTCGGAGTTAACGATAAAATCTTGTAATGTAGGACCATTTGCGATTCTTTCCCGAAGGATTTCTAGATTGGGTTTATTTTCTAGGGTTTTGTGACTTAACCTAAAAATCTTTTTTTTACATTATTTTAAGATTCCACAAGAAATTGAACTTACTATTTTATTTGTGGCGATTCTTTTTGAGAGTATTAGCGGTTCTTTAAACATTTTTGACCAAATTGTGAATTATTACGTTATCATTGTTTTGAAATTTCCTAAAAACGTAGTATTTCAGGCTTGATTTATACCAATTCTAACCTCAAAATTAGTTTTAATTTATAATTTTATAACGTTAATTATAAAATTGAAAGGTAAATTGGTGTTTGTGGAAAATTGGGAATGTTTTTAAAACAAAAATCTTTTAAAAATCAATTAGATTAAGTAATTAATGATGTTAACAGTGTGAGTTAAGCATTGAAAGGTTATAACCTTCAAATAAGAACTTTGTATTTTTATNGAATATATGTACTTTTGTGTGAAATTGACGTTGAATATTGCTTTAAATATCAACTTTATGTAGGTTGTTCATTAAACATTATATTCTTTACTTTTGTTTAGGCAACCCAAATAACAAACCAAATTTTATGTAACCATGACAATTTTGTCGATTTCAAATGTTATAAATAAAACAAGAAGCCATTATTGTATTAGATTTTAGGTTATGTTTATGTCAAACATTTATTTGGTGTTTTATAAACATCAAGGTCATCAACTGCTATTAATTTTTAATTCACCGTCCAATAAGATAAGAGCGTACTCACCACGTGTTCACGCATGTCCCTTGTGTAGACGGGGGCACGACAGACGCAGATATATATATATCTGCACTCTAATGTTTACACTCTTTTGCTGCCTTAGTCAGCGATATAGGAGATAGTATATATATGGTTATAACCTTCAAATAAGAACTTTGTATTTTTATTTTTTTAATCTAAACTTTCTATTTTATTATATTTTTTCTTAAATCAACAATACAATACA